TTGAGTCCAAGAATGGAAAACTCACTTCGACAAAGTCCTGAGCATATGTGTTGTGATTACCCTTGTCCACTGCATATTGAGTATGAGCAGTGCCTTTAAGAAGCTCAGATCTAGCAGAGACATCAGATGACACGAGGCTTAAATATATAGTGCAGTGGGAGAAGTGCAAGGTTAGAAATACATACGAAGTATAGAGAATTGAGGGCTGTGTGTGTATGCGCATGTGTGGGGGGTGAGGGTGAGGTTCAGAAAAAAAAAAGTCAATGGTCTGTCATTATTTGTCCAGCCTGTCCTCTCTTCTTCTAGCACTGCACATCTGCTCGGTAGTCCCTTTCTCTTTGCTACTACAAATTCTAGTTGAAGGAGCCTTAGTATCAAGCTGAAAGGATTCTTGTAAAGTAGGGTGATTGACAGGTCTTTAATCTTTTGTATGTTAATAATTACTGTTTTAAGTTTGTGTTTACAAAGTGTGATAGGTTTATTGTGCCAACTGGGCCAATAGGAACATGTGGGCAGAATTAAATCAGGTCAAAGCTTGATTGGAAGACAGCCGATATCCCATCTGCCTCTTGCTCCCTGGTGATCTGACCAGTGTACTACTGTTTTAGCTAGTTCTCTGCCTCAACCTGTGTGCTACACTACCTGTGGGCCAAGCCAATCCGTGGATCATGTTGCTACAGCTTTAGGTTCCTTCAAGACCTGCTTCTCATGCTGTTGGTGCCTACATTGCTTTAGCTTTAAGGCTGGTGGAAACCCTTTACTGTGCTGGAGCTCCAGATCCTATCAGGGCCTGCCTTGCTAAACTCCCCAGCTCCTGACTGTTGCTGACCTACCCTGCTGTCTATTGCCTGCAGGCAGACTCTGCCTGACTTAACTTAGTTAGGGAAGATTCTGCTATTTGCTTTGTTGACCTTGGACCCCACCAGGCAGGCCAAGTGAATTGAAGAACTTCCAGTATATTAACTGTTTCAAGGAAGTGAGTTGAACTGAGCCCTCTGTACTACTATGTGGACTAACTAGCTGTTGTATTCCTTCTTGCTGTATACGTCTATCTAGCTATATCATAAGTGTCCTGGTTGTGTTTCTCTAGAGAACCCTGTCTAACACACCTTTTACTTAACCAATGTGAAATGTTTTGGGGACATAGTTGTTCTAGAAGAAAATAGTTAAACAAATGCAGTTTTGTCATGGAGTAGATCAGCTGGGTTCATTAGTTTTGGAATTGGCAGGTAGGTGAGAACTTGAGCTCATTCCTATTTTAAAGTGTTGGTTACTGGTAGGTATTTAGTTGTTAGAAAATTCATTGGAGCATTGAATGATCTGTTGGAATATATGCAACCTTGCTGGGTGGTAGCCTTAGTACAATTTAAAAATTGAGTTGGATGGCAGCTGAATTTTCTAAGTAATATTTCATTTGGTATAGCAATTTCAGTTGCAATGAAGGATATTGCAAGCACTGGTATTTGTCCAGGATCACTGGTGGTGCACTGGGCTATGTATTGGGCTGCTGGCCACAAGGTCCGCAGTTGTGAAATGTCAGGAGAAAGATGAGTCTTTCTATTCCCTTAAAGATTCACAGTCTCAGAAACCCATGGAAACAGGTCTGTTATGTCCTGGAAGGTTGGTGTGGGTCAGAAGCAACTCGATGGCACTGAGTTTGGTGTAGGAGGAGGTTGTACTGCTAAGTATTTATATGTTTAGAATGGGCATATCTCGAGACAGAGCTCAAACATATATATTGTGGCTTAGAGGCTGGCACAGGGAGTGAGTGCTAACAGGTGTGGGATTTCTTTTGAGGGTGATAGAATTACCCTAAAAGTTGATTGGTAGTGATAGTTACACAACTATAAATTGACTAGCAACACTGAATGAAACAATCTCCTTGGTGAATTTCATGGTATGAGAACGATACCTCAATGAAGTCCTGGGAAAAGGAGGACGGGCCTCTCTTCCTTGACCTGCAACTCATTTCAAATGTAAGTTTGTTCGTGAGGGTGGAAAAGCAAGTACAGAACCACCCAGAATACTCACTTTCTTCTGGTTCAAGAATAAGCAGACACAGGAAGATGAGGCCTAAGCTGACTATAACCCAGCATTTTACAGTTCTTTAAATGGTCAGTCATTTCCTTTGAAAACATTGGTTCTGATTATTCTAATATGTCTAAAACCAAAGCATCTGTTTACTAAAAAGTAAATTTGTAACTGTAACTGAGGACAATCTGAGGGCAAAACCATCACATTTGTTCTAGCTAGCCCGTGTCATCCATTCTGCCCCTGAGAAGAGTGGGTTATTTTGCTTGGACATGGACTTGAGGTTAGAGAAGGTTTACAAAGCATACTATACCATTATGATTCATTCAATTTTATTTGTTTTGGAGTTACTCATCAGTTTCTGAAGGCTTTTTCTAATTTTAGGTTGTGATATCTCTTAGTAGTGTCCAGGTTTTCAACTTGAACATCCCATCCCCTCCTATAAAGAAGTCTTTGATTTAGTCTGAAATCCATTCATTTGTAGGCTTCCATGGGGGCTCCCTAGTCCCACAGTTCTGGAATGATATCAACAAATCTCCAAGCTCATCCTAGTGTAATGATTCATGTTATACTTTTGCACACATTCAGTCTTTTGTTTACCAGATAGTGCTGACTGTGTACCTGGAAAGACACATGACAGGCATACTAGGAGACAGCCAGGGGCTACAGAGGCCAAAGCCTGGCTGAACTGGTGCGAAGAACCTGGCAGTGATAAGCTTCATGGATTGTCTTCACCGGGCCACCTTCTCGCTTCGCTTCTCTTCATCCACGTGGTTGCCTTATCCGCCCTTATCTTCTGTCTATACTTTTCCCACAAACTTTCTGGAATACACACCACCACCACCCCTCCCATTCCCTCTTCACCCACCTCTGCAACCACTAATCTTCCTTCTGTGTTTATGCATTTGCTTTGCTGCTTCTGGACATTTCATAGAAATGGAATTCTGTGATAAGAGGGCCTTTTGCGTTTGACTTCATTCACATTATAGCACACGTATCTGAATTTCAGGGAGTCCTGATGGCACAGTGGTTAGAGCTGGGCTGTGATCTGCAAGGTCAGCAGTTCAGAAGCACCAGTTGTTTCTACTCCTATAAGGAGTTAACAGTCTTGGGAACGCAGAGGAGCACTTCTACCATGCCCAATGAGTCCGCATCGACTAGGTGGCAATGAGTGTCATCTGAAATGCATTCCTCGTATGCCTGAGTATCATTGCTTGTATATGTATATCGTGTTTTCTTTTTCCATTCATCTGTTAGGAGACACTTAACATGTTTCTCCTTTTGGTGATGGTAGAGGACTACAGCCAACACTAGCATAAATGTATATGAGTTTCCACTTTCAAGTCCTTTGAGTTTTCATACTTTTTCTTCAAAAGCACATTTTTATTGTGAATGGGGTGAAGGTTTACAGAGCAGATCAGTCTTGCACTCAACAATTCATACACGTTTTGTATCATTGTAACCCCCACAGTGTCACATCACATCCCTTTAATCTCATATGGTGGATCATTCCGAGATGTGCCTAGCTCCCTCGGTGCACTTCCTCCAGTACAGATCTGTTGGTTCTTCTGGCAGTCATGGTACCTTCAGTATTCTTAGCTCGCTGCTCTGTAGGTCATCAATTCTTCTCTGGTCTTCCTTATTTACTGTCAGAATCTCACATGGATATGAAGCAATGGAAAACACCACAGCTTGGGCCAGGCACACCTTACCCCTCAAAGTGATATCCTTGCTGTTCAACATGTTAGAGAAGTCTTGCGCAGTGCAATGCGTCATCTGATCTCTGCCCTGATGCTTCCATGAGCATGATTACGCATCCAAGCAAGACGATATCCTTGATAACTTCAGATGTTTCTCCGCATCTTAAGCTGTTACTTGTTGGTAAGAGTGGTGAGGGTTTGGTCTTTACACGGGGTGTAATCCAAGGACCATAGTCTCTTCTCAAGGCCTGTAACTAGCACTCGTCAAGAATCACTGGAGTTGGTACCAAGGAGTGTGACCAATCTCCCTGCTGGATTTTGTTAAAAGGAAGGTTGCCCTTTTAATGCAGCTAGGCAGAAAGAGCTCATAAAGCCTCACAGTGCCCTTGTTGAATTGACGGCTCTCTTCCCAGTGACCTCATGTGTATCCGCCTGTGTCATTAGATCTGATTAACAAACAAAATAACCATATCGCATCTTCTGTTGTTGCTGAAGGCGTCACGAGCCTTCATCAATCCTGGGCTAAAAGGGTGCTGGCTGCGTTCTGCACATGGTGCTTTCCTTTAGTGCAGAGTTGCCATGAATATGCATGATGTAAATGAAGCATATACTTCCCCTTCAAAACACTGATTAAATCAAATCTTACTAATTTGATCCAAATCAAATCCACGCACTGTAAACTGCCTTAATTTAGAGAAAACAGAATTCGACAAAGAGAAAAGAAAATGAGGGAAATGGCCCAGCCCTTTCTCATTCTGCTTGGCTGCCTGAGTAAATAATCGTGAAAAATGTAAAAGGTCTGTTGCACAATTTAAACATTCCTGGAATGTGTGAAATATCTTCCCCTTTTCTGTTTTGGTTCCCACTCCACGTCTTTCTTCTGTATTTACTGTTTTGTGTTGTGTTTAATATAGTAGACATACATACAAACTTCTTCTGGTATCCAGGTTGTGTGTCTGATCCCCAGGAGCGCCAAGAACAGGGAATGGAAAGAGACTAAGCAGACCCACCACTGCTGAGTGGGTTCTGATGGGTGTGTGGGGGGGGGGAAGAAAGGAGGTCGGGCCAAGTGGGCAGTGGTACTGCCTGTTCCACCTTGGAGAGGGCAAAGGCGGGGACAGTGCCTTATTCCCTGGTGCCTGGGTCATCCTCCCTCGGCTGACTCCCTGGCTGCTAGCAGCTGTCTGTCCGTCTTTATTTCTCAGTGGTGGCACAGGTTGGGAAGTGCCCACTGATTCACCTGCTGTTGCATGTTCTCTTCCTTGGCAGACTCTCCAGTATGGCTTCCGCACCACCTCCTCGATACAACTCCCACTCTTTGGAGAACGAGTCCATTAAGAGGGTAAGTGGAATTTCCAGAATCACTCTGCAGACCTTTCGTGTTTCGTTATTATCAGGCCAGTAATTCAGGGTTAAAGGGGCCCAAGTGGCACAATGAGTGAACCGTTCGGCTGCCCCTCAACAGGTCAGTGGTTCAAACCCACCAGCCAGTCTTCAGAGGAATGATGTGGCGGTCCACTTCCATTAAGATGACAGCCTTGAAAACCCTATGAGGCAGTGTTACTCTGTGCTTAAAAGGTCCCTATGGGTACGAATAAAGTGAGGTTGGGGAGGGTTTTTTTTTTGGTGGGGGGGCGGGAATTTGATGAGGTTAATCAAATTATCAGCTCCATGTTTTTAGTCATGTTATATAAGCAGTTAATGCTTATGGTTTTATTTAGTATCCCACCGTGAGTTTACAGGTTTTTTCACATGCCTTGATTTTTGGGAACTTCAGGCTTTTATGAACTGACACCAAACATTACAACCATTTGAGCCATTTAAGGTACTAGACATCCCCCTCCAGCCTTGAAAGCTTTTAACTGGAAATGTTTGCCAACTATCATAGAGGAGAAAGCTGTGTCATTAGAGGGTAATTTTGCAGCACATACTGAAAGGAAGGGAGGAATTTAAAATAAGCATTACTCAGGGCCCATTAAAGCTCTTGAACATATTACCAGTCTCCATCAGAAAGGTTCACTTCCTCTCCTGAACAATCAGAATGGAGAAAAATGGTACTTTTCAATTTGTGTTACTTAATTACAAACAAGGTTGACCATTTTTTAAAATGGTATTTCTTTTGTGCAGTGATTTTCATGTCATTTTGCCTGTTTGCCTTTTGGGGTATTTGGAGGAGGGGGAAAATGCTTCTCATATAGATAAGTGTTCTTTATATATCATGATAACTCTTATGATATGTTACATATTGTATTCTTAGTTGATTGTCGGCCTGTTCATTATATTTATTCATTCAGATTTTGCAATATAGAGGTTTAAAATTTTTATATCATATTGACCAATTTTCCTTCATGCTTTCTTCATCCCAAGGTAATAGACGTGTTTTGTTGCCCTTTCTTATACCACTAGCCACTCTGTGGGAGAAAGACTGTGTTTTCTGCTCCCCTCAAGGGTTGTAGTCTTGGAAACCCACAGGGGCAGTTCTACTCTGTCCTGCAGGGTCGCTATAAGTCAGAATGCACTCGATGGCATTGAGTTTGGTTTGGTCTAGGTTTTTCTTTGACTACTTTCATGCCACCGGGATTGATGTTAAACACAAAAGTAACCTCAAGAAAGTAAATTTAAGTCCTTATAGAATGACACAGTGTCACCTGTGCCAACCCTGTGTCCTCTATCGCACATCTGCTTCCCTTGTTTTGTTGGTGGGATTTTGCTTGCTGCTCCTGACCCTGGACTTTGGTCTATAAAAGGTGTACCTGAAGAGTAATCTTGTTTGTTATGCTTACTCTCAGTTAGGAAGCATTAAAGCAGTGCTTCTCAACCTTCCTAATGCTGCGACCCTTTATTACAGTTCATGTTGTGGTGACACACACCCCCAACCATAAAATTATTTTCGTTGCTACTTCATCACTGTCATTTTGTCACTGTTATGAATCAGGCGACCCCTGTGAAAGGGTCGTTCCAACCCCAAAGGGGTCACGACCCACAGGTTGAGAACTGCTGCATTAAAGGCTGATGATATTTCCTTCCAACCTTATTATTTATAAATGGTATGCGTTTCTACTCCTCACTGATGGAAGAATTTTGAGTCATCTTCTCCTAGTTGAGATACCTTGCTTGTTACCACTAAAACGTTCTAAAATGTCTAAACATTTTCATTTTGTGCCCGAATACAAAAGATACAACAATGAATAATCGAGCAAAACACTCCCTACCTCTGTGGCAGCTTATATCTTCCATAAACCTCCAGTTTGTATTTCTCTTGTTTAATAAGAGAAATAGCGAGTCAATTTACATGTCCATAGCCTTTTCTATTTACAGAGCCCTGGTGGCATAGTGGTTACAAGTTGGGCTGCTTACTGCAAGGCAAGCAGTTCAAAGCCACCAGTTGCTCCGCGGGCCCTTCTACTCCTGGAACGAGTCTCAGAATCTCACAGGGCACGTTGTACTGACTATGTCCCATCGGGTCACTATAAGTCAGAATGGGCTCTTCTGACTCGCTGGTAGTGAGTTTGGGTTTGGGGTTTACAACTCACTAAGTGTTTTATGTCCTTTAAATTAAGGTGACCAGACGTCCCGCTTTTGGAGGGACAGTCCTGATTTTTAACAATTTTTCCTGCGTCCCGCGGTGTTTTAAAAAAGTCCCACTTTTTGGGTGCCCGGCTATCAAAAGATATAGCGTCTGGGGTCTTAAAAGCTTGAAGGTAAACAAGCGGCCATCTAGCTCAGAAGCAACAAAGCCCA